ATGGCCCACCCTGTATAAATGACACAAATGACAAATACGCAATGAACTGTATAAATATTTCTAGGTATAGCGTATCTTCTTTTAACTGCAGCTAGTTGTAACATTAGTTATAAGAGTGGACCAGATGGTACCTTTATACCGCAATCTTATATTCAAGGTGGATGGAAATCAAAAACACAAACATATTTTTTGGGTTATTTCATAAACCCTATGTCGCTCCCAAGAGGATCTTACCTCGAATATAAAAAACCCGATTAGCTAAAAGCATGAACAATCTAAAAATCTGTTATGAAGCCTTCAGGGAGCCATTCGTAATATGCGTAGGCCCTACCTAAAAACTGCAGGATACCTCGCCCTAGGTGAAGAATCATTTTATTCGCCTGATTACCAGATAACTTACGAGCAAAGAAAAATTAGCGCAGGTCTCATATTAATATTAAGGTTGAGTGCTTGGGTGCCATAAATAATACACGTTACGTAAAAACGTATATGATTTCGAGTGATAAGGTACTAAGGGAGTAGAAATAAATTATGGTAATTCTGTGGGTAGGCGTCATGAAATTTGGGGTATCGGCCTACCAATCGTGTAAGGTGTAGTTCTGACAAATTCGATTGTTATTTAGAAGTTTGTCATGAGGTACGATAAATGAAACTTTGTTCGGCATAATTGAGCAATTTTTCTCATTCGCCATGGAAGAACTGCTCCTTAAGAACGAACTTATATCATTAAACAATCGTCTCAAGGATCATAACCATATGCTGACTGTTAAATACGGCACGGATATTATGTATGAAAAGTGACATAATGACGATTTTCTTGAAACTATATTGGCTTTTCGTGACGTTATGTAGGGTTTTCTAGAAGATTTTAACTTAGCCGTAGCTGATGGATACCTGCTGTGAACTCGTTTTATAGCTGTACGTGTTGCCTAAACGTCATGAGGCTTCAGCTATCAATGTTTGGCTCTGATGTGATGTAAAATCTGCTTCAGAAATGGCATTACGTATTAGGTAGCGACAATGCATAGGTGCATAGTGTGTGCTAATAACATGTGTTGATGATAATTCCATTGGATTCTTGTCTCAAATACACTTACTTGAGATACAAAGCTAGAAATTAGTTGTGCAACCACTTTTTCTTATCCATTCTGGTAATTACATATGCAAATTTGCTGAATTTCAAAAATGAGAGAGGTAAGAAATAATTATATTTACTGTACACCGTCGAATTACAAGTCACATAGGTACATGCTAACAGTAATTACACACAACACGGGCGCGTTGGTGATTTCCCGTGATTCTCCTCAAGGTTATTAAAAACACAAAAAAGAAACGTGAAAAATCGTAATCTATAACTTTGAGCATAACTTGTCTTCAGAAAGGACAGCATATAGATAACCCGTCGGGCACAGCTAACAGACATACTTTATTGGCAGCATATTCAGTAATGATGTTCTCACAAAGCAAATATCACTGATTTTATACACATGCTGACCAATACACACAATTATCCAGATGCGATCTTGCTATTCAACCAACTTTCTTCTCAGACATGAAAACTATAGACTGCTCGGCTTCACAAAATGTATGCAACCAAGAATGCGTGTAGTTGAGCTACTACTACTCCTCCATAGATGGTCGCTCACAACGATCCTAGTGAGCAAACGTGGAATGACTGTTTGCACTCTAAAAACTACCTAGACTGCAAGATGACATTTTATAGGTATTTTTTTTTTGACGTTTTATAGGCTTTTTTACAGGATCGCCTAAGATGCTTTGGATCTTCACATCTCAAGAATTTGACAGGTTGCTATAAAGAATGATCTCCGGCGTTCAGCTATATAATTTTTAATATTTTTGACGTAAATAAAACTACAGGAATTACCATCATCCTGTATATCCATCCTCCTTACATCTACATATTCAGTCGGCCTCCATGCACGGACCTTTGCTCAAACTCATATCGTTTTTTTTATTTTGTCTCAATGTCTTAGAAGTTTTCTCATCAACGTATTAGTCTTCGATAGTCGATCTTCTATACAAAAACGTAACAATCCCTGAACTGCAACGTATTTTTATAGTAAAAGTACTTTCAGAAATTAAATGATAGCAACGGTACAAACTAATTTTTTACTTCCAAGTTTTTTCTTATGGTATGTTATTTGATCTCAAATACGATGTTTTACTTTGCCATCTCATGTCCAAACTGCTGTGTCTTACATTATTTCCTAGCAAAACAAGTAGCATCGTTTCCTGTAGATGTTGAAATACTATTGCAGATCCATACCCAATGATATCCAGCATGGTGTGGTACGATAACATTTCTCGATAGGTTTTTGCGTGTTCATAGGAGTTCTGGCGTTTTCAAGACGATGGAAAAGATTGACGTGTCTGATACATTAGAAACTGCAGACAACTACCAACGCTTGTCGCTTTGATGGAACAGGTCATTCTCTTGGGAGGGGAAATGCCTACCCCAGGCGGTCTTGGGCTTTGGTTGTTTTACGCGGTGCCATCTTAAAATTGCAATGAAGACTTCGCGCAATCTCGACATGTTATAGGACTGTTCACACTGTTGTAGTATAGTAATGTGAAAAGGGAAAGAAAATATAAAAAAGGAAACGGAATGTCGCCTGGAAGACAGATAAGCAAAATATGTTGTCAAATAATTGTAAATTATACTTGAAAAAGGCCACAGAGACTGAAACATATATGCGGTTTCATTCGCCCAGACATTCGATCATGTGTGTGTGCAAGAGCGAGCAGCAGCTACGTTAAGGATCGGCTGGTGCAGTGTGCAACCTCCTTTGAAAAAGTTAAGCTAGGTATTTAGGTAGCAATTTATCGATGACAAACAAGAGTACGTTTAATCAACAAATATTTTTGAGGACTCCACAATCAGCTTCCGCCCCTAACGAAGATATCCAGAACTGCTACTTCGTTTCCATTCTAAATCCACTCATCTTCCTCACTTTTTTTGCAGACTCTCCTATGATTGTAGGAGACCCCCTGATCCTACTCTTATAGGCGAGAGCAGATATTTGCTGCAAGAGTATCTAGACCCTCCTGTAATGTTAAACAAGGTCTAAAGTAAATCCATACTCAATGTCTTGATTTTCGCTAGGGAATCGGAGCAGCTCACCAATGATGTTTGTCTTCTAGGCTTAAATATATAAGGCACACACGAGGGATTATGGTCCTTTTTCCATAACGTAGCCTTGCTCTGATATCAAGAATTCTGACGCCAGCAACCCCTTTAGCAAGTAGAATATGTGTTATGGCTTGCCCACTTTACCAGGATTCTTGTTCCTCTCTAGAATCATGTTCCCCACAGTGAGTTGTAGGTACTGTACTAGGAAATGGTCCAAAAAAAACATAGCCTCTTTTTTACGGTTTGACTAATATATTATGTGTTAGTAAATACAAATGCTAACTTCAGTACAATAATAAACGTAAAATAAAACATAACACCTGACTTTTACAAAATAATCTTAAGTTAACACGTTTTATAAGTCAAAGAAAATTTTTAAATTGTATTATAAAACCCATTGAAACCAAAACAGTTGGTTGTGCACGGGTAGATTTTTTTTTGATCTAATTTTGATAATAAATTTTGCTTAGAGCAGGATTTTATACTCGTACAACAATCACGTTGTAAGTATGGAAGGTAAGTAGGAGTAGCACTTATATATTAAAGTTTATTCCACTAACTACAGAAATATGATGAGAAATGGTGAGAAGGAGTAATACTGTATATGAATTGAATTAATTCATGCAGAAACAGTTGCCTTAAGTCAAACACTCCAGTCTCTGAAAATAATTTATCAGAAGGATAAGTAATTTTTTTGACAGAATTTAGTTTCAGCATTCTTTTTTGCAGTATATCCAGAGGCTGCAAATGACAATATGCGACACTTTCCCAACTCAAAATAGCGTATCGTAGACGTGATTCAACTAATGAATAATACAACATTTTTAAGTGCATGTTTTAAGTATTTAAGCGATATAAGAGTTGTCGTAAGGTGTTTGTAATGTTAGCTATATGAACATCCTCAAGTGGCTATCACTGGTGACACCTAAGTATTTATAGGTTTTCACAGATGTTAAAGATATACTTTGATTTATTAAAAGTTGTTCATACTGAGGTAGACAACGTACTGTATTAGAAAAAAGCATAAAGAATGTTTTCTCATAGCTCACGGTTAAAAGTTTATGAGCAAAATATGCAAAAATAGTTCCTGGATCCCGCTCTGCTTTAATTTTTACACTTTCCCAAGTGTTACCATCATACAGGACTGCCGTGTCATCTGCAAAGCTAAACACTTAACCACCTGACGAAGAAGTTAGAATGCGGTTTATGTAAATTGTAAACAAGATTGGTCCCAACACAGTACCCTGAGGTAAACCGTAATCAACTGTCTTTTCATTACTGAATGTGTCACTAATCTTCACTACTTGTTTTCGATTTGAGAGATAGCTTGTAAACAACTGTAAAGGTCCGCCTCGTACTCCTGCATCCTCCAAGGTCTCCAACATCTGCTGGTGATTCACAGTGTCGCAGGTCTTGACAAGATCCAATAATACGCACAGTACCGGTGTACTCAATTCTAATCTTTTTCTAATCTCTTCTGTTAACTAGTAAATTGCATCTTTGGTTGATATTCTCTCTCGAAAACCGAATTGCTTATCTGAAAGATATTTGCATTTGTCCAAAAATTTAACTAGCCTATTCTTCAATGTTTTCTCAAATATTTTAGCTATAATTATGATGACAGATATTGGTCTATAGTTATCTATACCTTTTACATCACCTTTTTTATGGACAGGTGTAACTAAAGCTACTTTGAACCCTTCTGGGACTTCATTAGAAATATAAATCCGGTTGATCAAGTGACATAGCGGCATTGAAATAATGTCAGCAGTATATATAAATATTTCGGACTTCAAATTGTCAAAACCGGTCGATTTTCCATTTTTTAATGTGTTAATGACTGAGGTTACTTCAGTTACATCTACCGCCTCTAAGAAAAATGTTTGGTTTATTTTTCCTTTGCGGTCTATTTTTGTTTGGCCTCACAATGCGTTCAGCATAGTATTTGCCAATATTTACAAAGAAATCATTAACCCTTTCGCAACTGTTATTGGCGAATCACATAATTTATTTTCATCAACTATTTCCTTAACTGCACATTTAGAACTGCCTGTATAGAGTTTATTAACTACGTAACACAAGTTCTTAGGAGTATATTTGTTTTTATTTATTTGTTTCTTGTATTTAGCATTTCGTATGAGTTTTTCTAATTTTTTCTTATATTCAAGAACCTGCTCATTTTCTGTCTGCATCAAGTAAGTAGTTCCGTCACCTTCCCAAGTACTCAGAATATAAACGATTATTTTCATTAACAGAATTTACAATACCTGATGTGATCCAAGGCTGTCGCTTGATCTCGCGCCTATTCAATTTTTTGTGGTTGTATTTTTATCAGTTAAAGATCTCAATATGTCACTTAGTTATTTGTTTGTTTACCTAACATACTCGCATTTACGGATGCGTTCATCTAAAAAATGTATACAAACCATTTCTTCTTCCCTACCTACATCCGACTTAGCATTTAGTCCACCGGGTATAATCTACGCTCATGATAATTCTAAGTAAAATCCTTACAGCAAAGAGATAGAGGGTAGGAGGTGGTTAGGGCCCAATCGCCCCTGTGAGGCATCTTTAACGGAATTAAATTTTATTTCCACAGATTAACTCTCCCGAAAGTTGTCAAAATTCTAACGGCCTTCGCTTGCGACATATTAAACCGCGCGAGAATGGCTTTTAAGGAAGACAGACATAAAGGAAGACTTCCCCTCGCTTCACGGCTGGGTTTATGGTCCTCCATATTTGTTTTCTTCGGTCGAGCGGTGAGTGGAAAGTTGAAAGTTCGCGACTGTGAATTCTTATTTTATGCTTCTGCCTGAATTAACATTAGCGTGTAAAAATTTACAGGCGAGTTTCACTAATTTGGAGAGAGAGAGATGGACCCAACAGGGTGATCTTTGTAAGTGACCCTAGGCAAGGTTCATCGCAAAATGATTCTGGAGAATCAGTTACCATGGATGTAACTCTATTAGGGAGTCTTTTGAAACTAAAAATAACCCAAATTTTATATTAATCGTATCTATGAATCAAATGAATACACAATTATAATAAAGTTCATTTTTTGTTTTTATTGTGGGTGCAGAGGCTCAGCACCCGCATTTTTTATATCAGTTTTGTGCCTCAGTCTACTTTATCTCGAAGTCTTGCAACCATGGGTTCATATAAGGTAAATATTCCAATGTGGGTCGCTTTTTGAAATATTTGCAGGTAAAATTTTCATAGATGGATTCAACTTAAAATGTAAGTTGTCTTCAGGAGGCCCTTTTGGGCCCTGATCTTTCAAGAACTGTTATAAACGCTTCTCTGTTTCGCACGTTTGCATCTTTGCTTTCTATATTGACCACTATCCAATACAGGTCAGCTCTGGAGATTGCTACAATTCCGAAATATATTCGCTCAACTTAGCTTCTCTCTGCTGAAAGTCAGATCGATATTTGCAGTTGAACTGGAGAATGATAAATATTTCTATTCTGAAGAAGGACCTGGAGGTTACCACTGCCTGAAAATGTAGTGCTTTGTTGTTTAGTGCTTTTAAGATACAATTCTTCACTTTATGATAAGAAGCATCCAAACTCATCCGGTTTTGATGGATGGCTAAGCGTTCTCAGGAAACCGTTCGATTCAGCTTATCGATGTCAAGATCACTGAAAACATGGCTTGGTACGAATACTTCCATTCCAACAGATACTCAGCTACTGTTTACGTGCCTGAAGTACCTACGCGTCAAATACACTCTCAGTATAATAGCGACCCGACTGTTCGGTGACATTTCCTCAACAGATTGGCTTTTAGGCGGTTCTCAAAACATTTCTGTTGGATGGAAGGTTTGTAGACAGAGTTCTTAAAAGTATTAATTTTTTCTGTGAATACAGCTTGTCTTCAACCACGATCGTCTTTATAACCTTTATAATCATCAACAGTCAGATACATCCACGCACCAACCCTTAAAATTACCCAACGTACCCATTAATCCATTTTATAGCCAATATCGTCTGCAATTCTGAGACGAGTAGGACAGTAGCAGCAGCTGTAGTATCCTAACACCTCGTAACGATCTGCATACCACCTCCTTGTAAACGGTTATCAACTTACACAGAACGCGCTAAAGGAGTGCCGTAAATCCAACTGCGGTGACCCTTTCTCCTCCCTCCCTTCTCTCGCCTTGGTCATTGTAAACTGATGAGGGCGTAAATAACCTCCCTCTCTTCCCTTTGATACTCCCTAACATCCCTTTCTCTCGTTTTTACGGTCATGAGGCGTTCGTCTTAAGTAACCCTTTACAGATATATACCGCCACGCTGCGTTCACTTCAATATGGTACAAGGCTTTTAGACTAAATGAGACCTCCTAATCTTGATATTCCTTGGCGGCATTACACAGTGCGGCCCTATCTGTAGTCCATCTGTCAATGAAAGAAACCAAGCCAAAACATAGTCACGCATACTTCACGTGATCAGACACAATCGCGCAGAGCTAACACTAACGGCCGGCAAGACTGCATGCACCGCTGTGTCTTCTCCCACTCCACCTTCCTGGTTTGACATACATAATAGGGGAGCTGATCAAACGCTATAAGCTCCAGAGATAAGAAATTAAACAAAAAAAAAAAGATAATGTCATAATCAAACTAGAGTTTGTCGTACACCCATCTGTCAAAACGATTCTTGAACCTGTTAACTGTGGATCCATTAACAACGCCGTAGGGCAGCATGTTCCAGGTATCAAATACTCGGACAAGAAAAATTCATTAGTTTATAGTTATATGTCAGTGCCGAAAAAACCATGCAAATGGGATTACCAAGTCCCCTCGTAAGCGTCTATCGGCGAAGTGAGTTAACAAGATCGCTGGATACAGTACGGGATGCGTGTAGACCTCCTCTAAATATATTCCAACAGGTCTCGGTCACTGGCCTGACATATGACATGTATAGGATCCCAGCAATAGAACTGTATCAACACTTAAAGGATCTTTCGACAAGGATAGACTCCTTTTGGCCTTGGCCGTTGGGTTTAGGATTTGCTCGGACTATGATAGGCTATCCGATACAACAACTCTTAAATCTATATAACTGGAGGCAAATGAGGTTTCCTGGTTTCCGATGATGTAGCTGATCTAAGGATGGTTCTTTCCAACGTGTAGAACGCAGCACTTCTCCAAGTTGAGGGGCAGTACCGATCTTCTGGACTATTCGTAACCATTCTCGGGGTCGCGTTGCACGATGTTATCATAGGCATTGTATATCTTTGTGTCTTCAGCATACAAGAAACAGGTGGAAGATATAACACAAGGCAGGTCCCAAGCAGGAGAAGCAGCAAATGTCCCAAGACGGAACTCTGGAGAACGACGCTAGTCACCGCCCTACTGGTTGACAGTAGTAAACTTTCTGTTACTAAGGAACGCGTTATCCTCTTCAACAGGTCTACCGGCATGTTGATATCTATCATCTTATTCGAATCATTGACACATTTGAGCAGATTTGTGATGATAGAGCGACCTGGCAAGAAACCATGTTGATTGGCTGGTAAGGTATTATTTTCAGTAGCAAACTTGAGCATTTCTTGACTACTTTAGGATTTATGAAAGTGAGACTGATGGGACGATAGCTTTTTGCATTGTACTCATCATCTTTCTTGAAATTTGGCGTAACTGTTGCTTTTAGCTCATGTCATTATTATTCTGTAAATCTTTTCTGATGGACAAACAGGCTCAGAAAACTTATAGGTTACAGCTCTGCTGCCTGTGAACAGCATTAATAGAAGGCCTACATTACTTTGTAGTATAAACTCGACCAGTTGCTTAGTGTAGCTAATAATACAGTTATTTGGACAGGCTAGTATTGTCCTCGTTATCACATAGGTTGCTAAGTCTCTTCGAATAAGTTGGATAGAGGAACTTTAGTGTCTCCAGTGGTTGAATGCACATGTTGTGTAGCTTTATGAGCAAGCACAATGGAACAGTTCACCTCAGCTCAAATGTCGCCGCAATGTTTGTCGTTACCACTGTTGAGCCACCAGGCTCAATTGATGTCCGCCATGTGCGGAAAGTGTGTGACGAACTAAACGACTTCACTATTACGATGTCTCTCGAGCACAACTAATACAGTTTTGTGAAAATCCAAATCATTCAAAGTATTAGCATAGAATTAGGAGCAACTTTCCATCATCTAATCATCTCTCTGTAGAATCTAGGATTAGAAGAGGAAAATCCAGCTGGTTGTTTTTTATTTTCTAAAAAACCTGAGTAGAGTCAGGAACATCTTACGATATAAGTATATTTATATAGAGTGCGAGTTCCGCACAGGTATTACCTATCTTAAAAAGTGGCCTAATGTCAATTTTTTGTGGCATTATGTGGGTTTTCTACAAGATGTTAACTTAGCACTAGCTGATGAACACGTTGTGAACTCGTTTTGTAGTTGTACGTGTTGCCTAAATGTTATGAGGCGTCAGTTGTCAATGTTTGCTCTGATGTAATGTAAAATCTACTTCAGAGATTACATTACTGACGGTCTAATTTGTTAGTTGTATACTATAGCTAGAAGGAAACGGCAATGCATAGGTGCATAGTGAGGATTTGTGTGCTAATAATATGTGTTGATGATAATTCCCTTGGATTCTTGTCTCAAATACACTTACTTAAGATTCAAAGCTAGAAATTAGTTGCGCATCCATTTTTTCTTATCCATCCTGGAAACTATATATGCAAATTTGCTGAGTTTCAGAAATGTGAGAGATAAGAAATAATTATATTCACTGTACACTGTCGAATTACAAGTCATATACATGCTAACAGTAATTACACAAAACGCGGGCGCGGTAATGATTTCCCGTAATTCTCCTGAAAGTTTTTGAAAACACAAAAAAAACGTAAAAAATCGTAATTGATAACTTTCAACATAACCTGTCGTCAGAAAGGTCAGTAGGTATAGGTAAAAATATCCCGTCGGGCACAGCTAATAGATATACTTCGTTGGCAGCATATTCAGTAATGATTTTCTCACACAGCAAATATCACTCATGCAGACCAATACACACAATCTTCCAGATGCGATGTTCAACCAACTTTATTCTCAGAGATGAAAACTACACACTACTCGCCTTCACAAAACAGATGCAACCAACAATGCTTGTAGTTGAGTCATTCCTCCATAGACGGACGCTCACAGCGATCCTAGTGAGCAATCGTAGAATGACTTTCCACGCTAAAAACTACCTAGACAGCAAGATGACATTTTGTAGTTTTTTTTTGACGTTTTATAGGTT